AGCCACCAACATTCTGTCGTGTCAATTGTTCAGCCACCAGCACACAGTCGTGTCAATTGTTCAGCCACCAACATTCTGTCGTGTCAATTGTTCAGCCACCAACACACAGTCGTGTCAATTGTTCTGCCATCAATACACAGTCGTGTCAATTGTTCAGCCACAAACTCACAGACGCGTCAATTGTTCAGTCACCAACACTCAGTCGTGTCAATTGTTCAGCCGCCAACACACAGTCGTGTCAATTGTTCAGCCGCCAACTCTCAGTCGTGTCAATTGTTCAGCCGCCAACACACAGTCGTGTCAATTGTTCAGCCGCCAACTCACAGTCGTGTCAATTGTTCAGCCACCAACACACAGTCGTGTCAATTGTTCAGCCACCAACACACAGTCGTGTCAATTGTTCTGCTGATTCACTGGACTTGCCCATGGGGGCCCTTTAGGAAATAGCGATCGAGATGGGAGGCTACCCAACTGCCTCACGCCGCCCTGAACGTCTGTTACTTCATCTACAGGAGTGAGTGAGTGAGTTGGGTTTAACGCCGCTTTTAACAGTATTCCAGTTATATTGCGGCGTGTCAGCTTAATGTGGGAGGAAAGCCCGAAGTGATGCGGGTCTCAGACGTTAACCACTTCGGTGAAATCCACGAGCACGGGCATGGTGCTGACAAACCTAGAAACATAATCGGGGCGAACCGGGATTCGAACCCACAATCATAGGTTTCTGGCGTGCCCAAGGGACGCAACTCTGCACAGCGAATCGCGGCGCCTTAGACGACTGGGCCACCCGTGTCCCCTCATCTACAGTATGTCGATCAGCAAACAAAAGGTATTACCTGTTTCCCGTGGTCCATTTAGTCTTGTAAAAGCGTATTAAAATACGAGTTAAAATTGATGCATTGTGCATTGTTTGTTTTGTTTGTTTGTTGTGTAACGCCGGGCTGAGCAATATTCCAGCTATGTGACGGCGGTCTGTAAATAATCCAGTCTGGACCAGACAGTCCAGTGATTGACATCATGAGCATCGTTCCACGCAGTTGGGATACGATGACATGCATCAACCAAGTCAGCGAACCTGACCACCCGATCCCGTTAGTTGCCTCTTACGACAAGCATAGTCGCCTTTTACGGCAAGCATGGGTTGCTGAAGACCTATTCTACCCCAGATCTCCACGGGACCATAGTCTCACTGATGTTCTGATTGTCTGTAATTTCATCTATATAAATACCTGTCCGAGAAGCAGCCGGCATCAATCTGCCCCTTCCTGACCCCGGACGCGCGACCGGCACCGACATGACGACACCAATAACACACAGGGTCAGTGTAACAGACAGCACGCATTTCCTCATTTTCCTAGCTTTTTGCGCTGAAAAACCAACATTTTTTAATAGTGAAGATACAGGTAACTCATAGAGTAGATGCACAAGGCTTTGTGGCTCATCGGAACCTTTCTAGAATATTGTATGAGGCCATGGGGTAGCTAAGTCGTTAAATCTTTCGATCGTCATGCCAAAGACCCGGATTCGATTCCCCACCTGTGTACAATGTGTGAAGCCAATTGCTTGTGTTCCCCGCCATGATATTGCTTTAAACGGCGTAAAACTATACTCACTCACTCTGGAAAATTGTACTGAATAAGTGAAAACTATGCCTCAGTGCTACCGAAGTCACAACATCATTGCATTCATGGACAGACTGACAGACAGACAGACAGACACGTGGTTCTGCATGTCTCACCTCTGTGATATACATTTAATTTGTAACGTATACACATATCTCAAAAGTACAGAACCATTCATATTATTAATTATGAGAGACACTGATACCAGTCGTCGCCATTTTGTGGGACCCGTGAAGAGCCAGGGTAGAATAGGTCTTCAGCAAACCATGCTTGCCGTAAAAGGCGATTATGCTTGTCGTAAGAGGCGACTAACCTTTACAGGTAAAATGATGATAATTATACGTATGTTGTCATGTATGTATGAGACGGTCTAAAGCCTTGGGTATCTGCCGTACACGTGTACACGTGTCCCTAGGTGATGACCTCCCATCGGCCCGTGCATTCTCACAGGTGCAAATGTTACCTGAGTTGGGGGGGGGGGGGGGGGGGGGGGGGGGGATATGCGTTCACGGGGTGGCAATGAAGATATGTATTGCATCATATTTGCTTGGGAGATGATGGAATAGTTAAAAGCTATGAAATGGGGTGAGTATTGGATGGTTGGGATTTTTTACTTAAGGAGTATGTGTTGATCTACAGATGAGTTCTTCATCTCACTCAACTGATGACGTATCGGAATCTGTTATCACCCAAAGGTGTGATAACTGGTCAACGAGGCTGATAGCAACACCGTTAGGTTAGCGGTACTGACGTTCTTTGCCCCAAGTCATTGGTTCCGGCGTGTGAGTGAGTGAGTGAGTATGGTTTTACGCCGCTTTTAGCAATATTCCAGCAATATCACGGCGGGGGACACCAGAAATGGGCTTCACACATTGTACCCTTGTCGGGAATCGAACCCGGGTCTTCGGCGTGACGAGCGATCGCTTTAACCACTAGGCTACCCGACTGCCCCGGTTCCGGCGTGTAGAACAGTGACACGATCACCTTCACCTGATGATACGGTAGCCACGTGTAGTCAGTGGAATGATTCGTATTCACCCAGGTTTCATCAAGGTAAATGATCTGAAAGCCCTGACTGCGGTAGTTATGACTGGGGCGGAGATAATGTGACCGCACAGACAGGATGGAATATTTTCCCCGGAAAGCTGCTCGGCCATCGTCACACGCATTGAATCGAAATCCATCCCAGGAAGAGCAATAATTCATGTAGTCCGAAACATTAGATGTGTCTTAATTTCCTCCCGAATTCTACTACAAGTCGGGGGTACTTTCTGCTCATAAAGCTTGTACACTTTACGTCTGATCACCCTGTATCAAAGCTGTTTAATATCATGTTACCTACCGGTTTTCTTTTTGAGATGGCCCCTACTATTTGTGTTGTATTTAACATACCGTAGAGTTGTTGGTATACCAGCCCCAGTGCTTGGCCAGTTCGGTAATACATCCTATCTAAACTACTCTCTCAACTTGTATAATAATTATCTCAACACAGACTTCATGTGGTGTGCCATTGCTATGGCTATGCACGTGTAGTGCAGCATGCATCGTGGGAGTAGTGTTGACGTAACAAATGCAGCGTCCTTTTCTAATTTTCTAGAAATTATTTTTCTAGAAAATTATCCAACTCACTTGTTGTTTTTATTGGATTAGATGTTTTATGGAGACTACATTATTATTTCTAAGGGGGCACGGGTGGCCCAGTCGTCTAAGGCGCCGCGATTCGCTGTGCAGAGTTGCGTCCCCTGGTCACGCCAGAAACCTATGATTGTGGGTTCGAATCCCGGTTCGCCCCGATTATGTTTCTAGGTTTGTCAGCACCATACCCGTGCTCGTGGGTTTCACCGAAGTGGTAAACGTCCGAGACCTGCATCACTTCGGGCTTTCTTCCCACATTAAGCTGACACGCCGCGATATAACTGGAATACTGTTAAAAGCGGCGTTAAACCCAACTCACTCACTCACTCACTATTATTTCTAAAGTCCGTTTCAGACTTCTCTCATCAGACTAATCTACATTGCTATTCGTTCGAATGTTTCACTGGTACAATTGTATAAAGGACTCCTTGTTACTGAAAAACAACATGTTGGTAAATCGATAAACTCGATATTTCAATAGCAACAGTCAGTGAAACATTCTATCCTGTTTTAACGGACAAACAGCATTTTTCAAGCATTTCCCACAGAATAAGATATTCCATTAAACAGGATCAAGGCTTTATGGCGGGTCTACTCAGCTTCTGACGAATTTAATGACGGGAAAGTTAACAATGCGTCTGGGCTACACACGCCAACGGCACAGTGGATTGATGGTTGTGACAAATTTGCCTTGGCGTATTCTCGGATGATGAAACATTGAAATGTCCTTTGTGTGAATAGAAGTTCAGCATTCCGATGAGGTCATATGGGTCAAGGTCACCTGATCAAAGAAAATCCTTCTGGGGAATGTGACAAGTGTATTTTCATGTACTCTGTTGTTTGAAACCATTTGGATAATAAGCTCTCTTCTATTGACCTATTTATGCCCTGACTTACATACAGTAGTTTATGTATAGTATTTATCATGCAATATTTCCAAATACAAGTATATCTGGGCATAGAGGCTTGAATTATACACATAGACAGTTTGATGTTTGTCTGAAAGGGCAAATTATTACCGCTATCATGTTAATCCCGTTCATACAGTAAGTGAATATGGTTTTACGCCGCTTTTAGCTATATTCCAGCAACATCACGGCGGGGGACACCAAAAATGGTCTTCACACATTGTACCCATGTGAGGAATCGAACCCGGGTCTTCGGGGTGACGAGCCAACTCTTTAACCACTAGGCTACCCCACACGGTTAATACATCGTCTTGTACGTGTTCTTTTTAACTAGGCTTTAAACTGATCCTCTCATTAACTGATTGACAGATCGCACAGTTCACCCTCATTACATAAGCCATGATGAATTTACAGCTATTGACGCCACTCAAACGATGAAGCGGATGAAGGAGGGTTTACAATTACAGACAGGATAAGAAAAGGTTATTAAAATGGCAAACAAATTAATTTTACAATACAATAATTTTCCCCAATAGGCATGTTTATAACAATATAAACGACGGCGGTTTCAATTCGCTCCGTGTTTTACATCTTACACAATGTTTTTGACTATTCTGCGATTATCTCCCTTACACACTGTAGTTGATAAACACGGAATTTCCACAGTAAACGAGCGCGGTAGCTTATTCAGGCTAAACATGGTCGCTGAACTGACCGTTGTGGCGAATAGTCACGTGAGTACTTTCTCTGGAATTATTTCCAACAAATGTCAAGCATTTCAGGGTTTAAATAAAACTATAACTGAAGAACTAACAACATCTAATTAAACGTACCAGTAGAAGGAGAAAGTCAGCGTCCCAATTCAAGTAGAAGCGTCCGCCTTATAGACGAGTCCTTTGTAACCCATCAAGGCATGTCACGGCGCAAGTGCATGTGTCATATTATCCCCAACAGCGTGAAACTTGGTATTTTTCGGGGAACTGGCGCGGTCACTCTATACCGTGTAAGACACCACCGGCGATAAGGTTTAATCACTTTCCTGGCGGGTTTCCTGTACGTATAGCCAGTCACTTGTCAATCAAGCAAACTGTATATCTTGGTGCATTACGTAAAGTGAGTGAGTGTGGTTTTACGCCACTTTTAGCAATATTCCAGCAATATCACGGCGGGGGACACCAGAAATGGGCTTCACACATTGTACCCATGTCGGGAATCGCACCCGGGTCTTCGGCGTGACGAGCGAACGCTTTAACCACTAGGCTACCCGACCGCCCCTCATTACGTAAAGCAGAGGTTGATAGAGGATTTGAAAAAGGGGTCCTTTAACATGTAAGGTGTCAGAATAAAGAAGTCCGCCAGTGTTTGTTTGTTTGTTTGTTGTTTAACGCCGCACTCAGCAATATTCCAGCTATATAATCGAGTCTGGACCAGACAATACAGTGATTGGTATCATGAGCATCGATCCACGCAATTGGGATTGATGACACGCTTCAACAAAGTCAGCAAGCCTGACCAACCAATCCCGATAGTCGCCTCTTACGACAAGCACAGTCGCCTTTTACGGCAAGCATGGGTTGCTGAAGACCTATTCTACGCCGGATCTTCACGGGGAGACAAGCATGGGTTGCTGAAGACCTATTCTATCCCGGATCGTCACGTGGACAAGCATGGGTTGCTGAAGACCTATTCTACCCCGGATCGTCACGTGGACAAGCATGGGTTGCTGAAGACCTATTCTACCCCGGATCGTCACGTGGACAAGCATGGGTTGCTGAAGACCTATTCTATCCCGGGTCGTCACGGGTCAGGTCCGCCAGTGTAAAGACGATACCTATGTCCATGTTTTATTGGGCCAAATATCTTTCCTCGTTTGTATACGTTTCTATTGGTTATCTCCCAAAACCCCTACATCCCATTTCCCCTACAACCCAGTTCCCCTACAATTAGTTAAAACAACACGCGGCATTTACCTGTCTGGCATTATGAACTCACCTAAAGGAGAGATTAAGGTCTGGAGTAGAGGTAGTAGAAATGAAAGGGGTTGAGCTTTAGGGGATTAGGGGACTTAAAGGAAAGTTTAAAAAAAAAAGAATTAATGTAAGTGTGATGAAAGATGCCTGTATGATGAGAAGACAATTTTTAGAAATTACAAAAATAACAATAGGAAGAAACAATTATTACACTGAGAAACTGAGATGAGACGATTTGAGAGTTGAGATGAAAAATGAACATTTTGTTATAATGTATTATGAATTTTGAAAAATGAACATTTTATTATAATGTATTATGAATTTAGAAAAATGAACATTTTATTATAATGTATTATGAATTTTGAATAATATCGTAATCGTAATTAAATATTTATCTCAATCTATTCGAGTTTCTTGGGTTGTTCCATTGTATGAAATAGGTAACAGACTAGGGATTAGCAGTGCCATGGACCGTGAACTTTGTTGTCTTAAGCTGTAGGGGAAATGGGATGTAGGGGTTTTGGGAGGTTACCGTTTCTATTATTAGGAAAGTCGCGCTTTCTTGATTTGGATTTTAGTGAATGAGTGGGTTTATCGCCGCTTTGAACAGTACTTCAGATATATCAGGGCGTGTCAGGTGAATGAGGGAGGAGTGCCCGAACGGATGAGGGTCTTAGGTGTTTACCACTTTACGCGGTATGGTGCTGACTAACCTAGAAAATCATCATCCGGGAGAACATGGGATTGAAACCCACAATAATAGGTTTCTGGCGTGCGCAAATCAAGATCATTGATCAAATCAAGATAATTTGGACATACTAATACCAACGCAAATTCTAAATTATGAAAATTCATCGAATCTGCAAGGCATGATTGCATTTTCAAATAATACTAACTCTTAAATAAACCTTGCAATGTTTCACCCGGGCATAGAACGTCATTTTAAATAGAACAGGGCCCACTTGCACAAAGCGATCTTAGCGCTAAGATGATCTTAACTCCCATACTTTACCATAGGCTTACACTAGTCTTAGCGCTAAGATCGTTTTGTGCAAGTGGGCCCGGGTCTGTCTGCCCGTCAGAGGTTGCAAATTGTTTCATCGGAAATACCTCTAAGTCGACGAACCAGAACGAGATCCGGTTTTGGGGATGACCTAGTTTGTCGTAAAGACGTTGACTAATTTGTACGCACTACACATTGATTATTTGTTTTTTTTAATATTCTTCCATGCAAATCTCTCCAGGTTATGACTTGAGTATTTCCACTCTGAACACGATCGGCCTTTTTCGCTGAAAATAGATCTGAGGTGAATCGCGAACAGGGCCTATATTTGACCCGTAAGCCTCCCTAACACATAACCGTCACGTGACGTTACGTTTGGAGACGTGGTTGATTGCACTCTCCTACCCATAGTTCCATGCGGCCGGCAGCCAGCTAGCATAGTACCTCTGCCACAGGCCAGCGCCATGTGACGATTCGTCACATCTTTCACAGTCCATTCAAGATATTGCACATGCTTTTCATCCGTTTCATGTTTGACAAGTCTACACATTTTCATAAACAAATGTCAAAGAATGGTTAACTTTCATTGAGAAAGTATGCAAATACGTAAAAATCTACTTGTTTTTGCGTAGTTATCCTATGTTTACATTGGTTGTACGGCTCCACGTGCTGTCATCGAAGCCCAACGGAGAGCTAGCGACACGGTCACTTTGATGCATAAATATATATTGTCATGCGACTCACTGTCGCAGTTGTAGTAGCATATCTATATAGTTATGCAAAACAATATGTAAAGCGCCCCCAAATACTTGCATTAGTCCGTTCTATACTGATTTCTGAAAAAGCGCGTTTGTTTACAAACAAGAGAAAAGTCCTGTCACGTGATATGCAAATTAGCCTGTGGCAGTGGTGTTATGCTGAGTCACCACTGCGACGGAGTGTGGGTTGATTGCTTATTTTTTCTTGGATACATTACTGCTGATGCTCTTACTTGAAAAATAATTATTAGCATAATTATTTTAAGAAACTGATACGGAAATGATGTATATGTATGATATGTGTAACCTGAATAGAATTTACATTTTGGGAAATGTAACAAACCGCGGTTCGAAGCCGGATCTTCTTTTAACGTTCGCCCGTGTAGTTTATATATGTTTCTCTGTAATGCGTTGGTACTGTAGAAGCACTGAAGTACCTTTCTCTCCTGACAAGTAAAATACCAGTAAAGTATTATTGGTCATACCTCGCCTGTCATGGCAACAGATATAGCAGTTCAAGCTCCTTACAGATAAACAGCATCACCTAGTGTAAATACCCATTGACGTTAGATGTACGTGATGTCATGGCAACAGATATAGCAGTTCAAGCTCCTTACAGAGAAACAGCATCGCGTAGTGTAAATGAGTGAGTGAGCTTGATTTTATTCCAGCAATATCACAGCGGGGGACACCAGAAATGGGCTTTGTACCAATGTCGGGAATCGCACCCGGGTCTTCGGCGTGACGAGTGAACGCGTTAACCACTAGGCTACCCGACCGCCCGCGTAATTTAAAATACGCATTAACGTTAGATGTGCGTGATGTCATGGCAACAGATATAGCAGTCCAAGCTCCTTACAGTATCGCGTAATGTAAATACGCATTGACGTTGGATGTACGTGATATGGAGCTAACAATATGGCAAGACACAAATGCATCACATATCCATCGCCGTTTGTTTTTAAATTGTGGTAAATGAAAAATATGGCTGTTAAATACATTCGTTGGCGGCCCAACCCTCGGAGAGTACCATTTGATGTACTCTCTGGCCCACTGTGAGTGGACAAACGTATTCCTCTCGCAGAAAGCCTATAACTTTATTTATCAATATCCTGCTATGCTCAAACTTGTTTGACATATTGCTTTAAATTACAATGTTGACGTATTGACAGTGTGTTTTTGTCAATATCCCGCTATATGACTGAAACAATGTTACTTTTAACTCACTGTAGAAGCAACTGTGTTTGTGCTCCAAAACGAGGGCAAGTGTTTTTGTAAGAACATAACTATTACAACAAAATATTGGGGTAAAATCCAGGTATAGTTCAAGGTGAAATGTCCACGTAATTGTGATACGTTTATTTGTTCATAAACGCCGTACTCACCAATATTTAAAAAAAAATACCGCTTGAAAATAATCAAGTTTGAATTAGCCAATACAGTACTAGTGATTGATATTATGAGCAATGTTCCACCCCGTCGGGGTACGACGACATACAATCAACCATGATACCGAGTCCGACCGCCCGATCCACTAAATTTTTCTTATAACAACCGGAATCCCCACGAGGTAATCATGGCATGACGTATAGTGAGTGAGTGAGTTGGGTTTAACGCCGCTTTTAACAGTATTCCAGTCATATCACGGCGTGTCAGCTTCATGTGGGAGGAAAGCCCGAAGTGATGCAGGTCTCAGACGTTTACCACTTCGGTGAAACCCACGAGCACGGGTATGGTGCTGACAAACCTAGAAACATAATCAGGGCGAACCGGGATTCGAACCTATAATCATAGATTCCTGGCGTGCCCAAGGGACGCCACTCTGCACAGCGAATCGCGGCGCCTTAGACGACTGGGCCACCCGTGCCCCCGGCATGACGTATAAGAACCACTGGTAGTTCTGTAGACCTTTTGGTAGTTGCGTCCATCTGACATGCCAGGAACGTACGATCGTGGGTTCGAGTCCCAATTCGCCCTGATAAATTTTCTAGGTTTGTTAAAACCATGCCCGTACACGTTGGTTTCACCATGAGACAAGTATAGACAAGCACCTGTAGGGGCCTTCCTCCCCCGTCATGGCGGCGTCAAACCCAACCGATTCACTCATTATATAGACCCGTGAAGATTCCGGGTTAGAATAGGTCTTCAGCAACCCATGCTTGCCGTAAAAGGTGACTATGCTTGTCGTAAAATAAAAGGCGACTGACGGGATCGGGTTGTCAGGCTCGCTGACTTGGTTGATGCATGTCATCGATCCCAATTGCGTGGATGGATGCTGATGATATCAATCACTGGATTGTCTGGTCCAGCCTCGATTATATACAGACCGCCGTCATATAGCTGGAATATTGCTGAGTGCGGCGTTAAACAACAAACCAAACCAAACCAAAACCACTCATTATATAAGCCTTTCGAACATTAATTGTTCTGAAGGCAGGTTTCCGGACTAACGGGGTTTTAGTTTAAGAAACCCGGCAGTTGTTAAGTGTTTAACGCCGCAATATTCCAGCTATATTATGACGGCCTGTAAATAATCGAGTCGGGACCAGACAATCCAGTGACTGACATCATGCGCATCGATCCACGCAATTGGGGTACGATAACATCTCTCACCCTCGTCAGCGAGACTGACAAATTTGGGTTGTTGAATTTTAACCAGGATCTTCACGGAACCCCGGCAGTCGTGCGTACAAGTGATGTATATTATTAATTCAACATTTATTGTTTTCTTTGTCATTGATCCAACAAATCTGTCGTTAATATAACAAACAGTTTTTATATAATCTCAAAATGTTATAGTCTTGACATGATTGATACTGGACCTCGTGCTGGAATGTCAGCTTATTAATCCTAGGTTAGGGTGATGGGGTAGAGTAGAGGTTAGAATGTTTCCTTCTTACACCGAGAGGGGGCACGGGTGGCGCAGTCATGTATGGCGCCGCGATTCGCTGTGCAGAGTTGCGTCCCTTGGGCATGCCAGAAATCTATGAGTGTGGGTTCGAATCCCGGTTCGCCCCGATTATGTTTATAGGTTTGTCAGCACCATACCCGTGCTCGTGGGTTTCACTGAAGTGGTAAACGTCTGGGTCCTGCATCACTTTCGGTTTTTCGCACATGAAGCTGACACGCCGTGATATAACTGGAATACTGTTAAAAGCGGCGTTAAACCCAACTCACTCACTCACTCACACTCTTACACCGAGACTGGGTTCGATTCCCCACATGCGCACGATGTATGAAGCTCGTGTGATATTGCCGGATAATTTGCTAAAAACCAACTCACTCACTCTGGATTGGTACTCATTACTTTTATTGAGGTTCAGAATGATCTAACTCAATCAAATTTTATTTTCTATAGGATGACGATGCGCCGCGGCTGTGGTAATGTAGACACAAAAGTCGTAGCTGTGAGACATACAATTGGGTCAAGATGGCTGTACAGTCTCATGACGTCGAGGCCGGCTGCTCATACTATCATCCACCAGAGGAACTACTTTCTTAAGGTCTACTTTCTTTTCTATATACGTCGAACGCAAAGACCAGTCAGACTGTCGATATCTTCAGTGAGAGGCTATTGTTTTAGATAAAAAGGAAAATATTTTAACCTAGGAATTTTACGAACAGACATATGATGCAGCAATTGTAATTTTCTGATTTTCTCTGCGTGTTTCTGGTAGAAATCAAAGACAACTTCTGCTAACACTCCCGCTAACACGCCCTGCTATAAGACATGCTTGCACTTACAGACACTCTCGCCAGAACACACACACCATCACACACACACCAACACAAATATACACACACAAACGCCAACACACACACGAACACCAACACACACACCAACTCACCAACACACACCAACACCCTCCTACTAACACATACTTGCACTTACAGACACTCTCGCCAAAACACACACACACACACACACACACACACCAACTCACAAATACACACCAACTCACCAACACACACATACATACACACATACACACCAACTCACACATACACACCAACACACTAACACCAACACACACACACACACCAACTCACACATACACACTAACACACAAACACACACACACACACACACCAACACACTAACACCAACACACACACACACACACACACACACACACACACCAACTCACACATACACACCAACTCACACATACACACCAACACACACACACCAACTCACACATACACACACACACACACACACACACACCAACACACTAACACCAACACACACACACACACCAACTCACACATACACACCAACACACACATACACACCAACACACTAACACCAACACACACATACACACCAACTACAACACACACACCAACACCCTCCTACTAACACATACTTGCACTTACAGACACTCTCGCCAAAACACACACACAAACACAAACACACACACCTCAACCCACCAACACACACACCAATACACACACACACACATACACACCAACTCACCAACACACCAACGCGAACACACTAACACTAACACTAACACTAACACACACACACACACACCAATACACTAACACTTAACAGTCTAACACATACTTTCACTTACAGACACTCTCGCCAAAACACACACACCAACACGCCCTCCTACTAACACACCAGTACACACATACACACACACACACACACACTCAAACACACACGCTGAAAGTAACACATACTTACATTTACAGACACTCTCACGCCTCACTCACACTAAACACACACACACACACACACACTCACTAACACATACTTGCATCTACAGACACTCACGCCAACACACACACACACTCAATCACATGCCAACACCAACAACCAACACACCAACAGACAAACACACGCACACACACTAACACCAACACACACAAATATACACACTCACTAACACATACTTGCATTTACAGACACTCACGCCAACACACACATACACACGAACACACATACACACTAACACTAACACACACATACACACCAACTCACACATACACACCAACACCAACACACACACACCAACACACCCTCCTACTAACACATACTTGCACTTACAGACACTCTCGCCAAAACACACACACCAACACAAACACACACCAACACACACTAACAAACACAAACACACACACACACATATATTATACAAACACACACACACCAACACGCCCTCCTACTAACACACCAGCACACACATACACACACTAACACACACACTTAAACTAACACATACTTACATTTACAGACACTCTCGCCGCCTTACTCACACTAAACACACACACACACACACATTCATCTACCAACACCAACACACCAACACACACACACACACACACACACACACACACACACACACACACACACACACACACACACACACACACACACACACACACACACACACACACACACACACACACACACTCACCAACACACCCTCTCCTCTCCAGGAGATACAATTGGCGTCTTTATAGATTGACTCTACCTTGCGTGCTGAAATAACACCGACATTGTATAATGGTCGAGAATATTTATTAACGTTCTCACAATACACCACAAATCCTCGTAAACAGAGATAAGTTACACATCGTACACATGATATACGCTGATTCAATACAATGTACGTTAACCCTTGGATGATGGACAGTTCCCGCGATACAGTCAAGCTGAAGCGTTTTAATAATTATGAAACCGTTGTACTTGTTAACTTTCCAGTGCATGCTATTTTGTCCAGAGTGTTTCTGTGGAGATCAGTTCACAGCACCACACACATTTCATTGACCCCGGCTTCTCAGCTGCCTGGCAATAGCCGGAAACAAAGACTCGAAGGTGAAAACGAGGTTATCGTCGTCACCGGAAGTGTTCCTTCCCATACCACGTGACGAGCTTCCAAAATGGTTGTTGTGTCCAATAGAATCAAATCCACGTTTGCCGACCACAGGCTCGCCATTCTTTACAAAGGACGATAACACCCCCGATGGCTGTGAAAGCGGTGCTGTGGAGATCTGCTTAAGTTGTGACCACAGGAGGGACTCTGATAAAGCTTTATCATCCTGTGGATAAAAACGCACATAACTAAGTGTTACATTGCATACATAAATTGCATATGATTCCATGACATTTGAATCGTTAACCAAGTATTGTCTGTGTTAATGTTTCTAAAACAAAATTATTTAGGCAACGCCCACGAAGCGGACAACTTTCGTAGGAAAGCTCAAGTGATTCAGGTCTCAGATGTTTACCATATTGATGGAGACCGCCTCCGTGGTCTAGTGGTAGAGCGTCCGCCCTAAGAGCGGAATAACCAAAGACGTTAAAATATGGTACTTGTTGTTGCAGTGCCTGGCGCTCGGGATTAAGGGGCGAAAACAAGGACTAGTCGGCTCGGAGTCAACTGTCAGTATGCTGTCTGAGTGGGGTATTCAAGTTAAACTGCAGCACTATGAAATCGGCAATAGTCCTGACTAGTACAAGCAGCCACACACACACGTACATGCACGTCGCTATGTAAGTGCAATAATCTTGGACGCGACGTTAAACCCCATTTCACCTCACCTATTGATGGAACCCACGAGGGCTGGAATAGTGCTGACAAACCTCGAACATTAAGGGTGAATATGGGATTCGAACCCACAACTATAGGTTTCTGGCACGTCTAAGCAACGAAGCTCTACCAACTTATCCAAACTGATTTAATATTATTTCCACAACGGGTCATTTAGCATGAAAGCACGTGACGTCATTGCATTCCGTGAGCTGTTTCAGAGAATGTGACGTCGGAACATTTGTAATTTACTGTGTCGATCAACATTAATTGTTTCTCTGATTTGCAGGACTGGTGTTAATGTGTACTCCTCGCATGGAAACACTATTTTTTGTTTGTTTGTTCGTTGTTTAACGCCCCACTCAGCAATATTCAAGCTATGACGGCGGTCTGTAATAATCGAGTGAGAGACAATCCGATGATTGACATCATAAACATCTGTCTACGCAATTGGGATCCGATGATATGCATCAACCGATCCGTTAGTCGCCTTTTACGACATGCATAGTCGCCTTTTAGGGCAAGCATGGGATGCTGAAGACATATTCTACCCGGGATCTTCACAGGTCATGTTATCAAGTACATTATTGTAAATGATATTTCCGGCATCAAACACTCAATAACACCTGTAAATCTGAAACTTTTTAGCTCTTAAGTTAAGTCTTCAGAACTTTTTATGTTGAAACTGTTTCAAACAAAGCTGTTGCTCTTATGTTAAACTTTAAAATATTCTACTAATAATCAAATGCAGAGAGGGGGGAGAGATGTGAGAGAGATGGAGCGAGAGAGGAGAGAGAGAAAGCGGGAGAGGGGAGAGAGAAAGCGGCAAAAAGGGGAGACAGAGGGAACGAGAGAGAGAGAGAGAGATGGAGCAAGAGAGGGGGGAGAGAGGGGGTGGGAGAGGAGAGAGAGGTGAAGAGAGAGAGGGAGAAAGGGAGAGGAGAGAGAGACACACAGAGAGCGATAGAGGAGAGGGAGAGAGGTTAGAGAGAGAGGGGGGAGAGAAAGCGGCAAAAAGGGGAGACAGAGGGAACGAGAGAGAGAGAGAGAGATGGAGCAAGAGAGGGGGGAGAGAGGGGGTGGGAGAGGAGAGAGAGGTGAAGAGAGAGAGGGAGAAAGGGAGAGGAGAGAGAGAAAGCGGGAGAGGGGAGAGATAGGGAGCGGAGAGGAGAGAGGTGAGAGACGGAGTGAGAAAGAGAGAGGGGGAGCGAGAGAGGAGAGAGCGAGAGAGGAGAGGGAGAGAGGTGAGAGAGAGACGGAGAGAGAGAAAGCGGCAAAAAGGGGAGACAGAGGAAACGAGAGAGAGAGAGCGGCATAGAGAGGGAGCAGGAGCGGGGGAGGAGAGGTGAGAGAAGGAGAGAGAGGGAGAAGGGGAGCGAGAGGAGAGGGAGAAAGAGGTGAGAGAGAGACGGAGAGAGAGGGGAGAGAGAGAAAGCGGTAGAAAGGGGAGAGAGAGGAAACGAGTGAGAGAGAGAGAGAGATGTGAGAGAGGTGGAGCGAGAGAGGAGAGAGAGAAAGCGGGAGAGTGGGAGCGGGAGAGGAGAGAGAGGTGAGAGAGAGAGAGGGGCAGAGAGAGGTAGAGATATGTGAGAGAGATAGAGTGAGAGAGGAGAGAGAGAGAGAGTGGCGAGAGGAGAGAAAGAGGTGAGAGAGAAGGGAGAGGGATAGAGGGGGAGAACTGGATAGAGGCAGAGAGGGGAGAGAGAGAGGAAGAGAGAAAAGGAGGAAGACGGAGAGAGAGAGATACAAAGACAGACAGAGAGACAGAGGGATAGTTCTTTATATCTATCTCTCTCTCTCTCTCTCTCTCTCTCTCTCTCTCTCTCTCTCTCTCTCTCTGTCTGTAAGAGGAAGGTCGGTGATTAAATTCCTGATAAAGTCATACGAAAAGACGTTTAAAGATTGTCGCTCAGAATTGAGACGATTGAACTAGGTCTGGTCGGCTCCGAGTTTGTGTAAGATGTCTGATTTGGGATATCCATGTTAAACCGCGCTAGCACTGTAAACACGGACTAGTAGAAGCAGACACACACAAACACACACACACACACACACACACACACACACACACACACACACACACACACACGCACGCACGCACGCACGCACGCACGCGCGCGCAAGCACACATTGCATGCACATCGCTATATACAGTAAGTGCAAGTATCTTGAACGCGACGTTAATCCCCAATTTACCTAACCGAACCGCACCTTCTTAAAATTCTATAACGCGTCTTAAAATATTTGAATAATACTACCAAATCAGCAAAGTATTTAATTAAAAAGAAGTACTTTACTTAACGTTCACATATAAAATAATGCATATCTTTTTGTATGACTAGTCTGTTAGTTTCTTTCATTTTTAAACACATGCTCATGCCATAGTTGGAATTGTACAATCGATTTCTTTTGGATATGGAAAGGGTTTTGTTACTTTATTTGAATAGGTTTCAACATATTAGTTTAATATGAACAAGGCCAAAATTCACATAAATAAAAATCCAAGCCTATATTCGTAAAACATATTAATTTGACTTTGAAAATCAATTTACACGATGAATTATCATGCAGTTATTTTCTTTCAATAAAATCATCTATAAACTATGGTTTAATTTCAAGCTTTATACCTTCGCGTAATTAATTTAATATGAAATGATAAGGTAGAATGTGACTTTCCACAAAAATACATCAATTTGAAAAAAAATGACTTTTAAAACCCTCCAAAAACAGCACATAAAACAATACTCCGGAAACAGGGAAGAAATCAGAAACTCTTCAAATGAAATGATTCAATCAACCTTTTGCATGAAGAGTAAGATTGCGGTTTCAATATACATCAAGACAATTATCGCTGTAATTTGCATAATTTAAAAAAAAGGAAAACGTACACCTACCATTTGTGAATTTCCGGACACATACAGCAGGCTCCCGCATAAAACAAACAGGGATATTTGTAAGGCAGACATGGCAACACAATCTAGCGCTTCAAACTGTCTCCGGAGTCAAAGAACCAGCCACTTATATAGTGTCTGCTCTTGTCCACACAACTAATATATCTATTACAATAACTTTAAAGTCTACTCCCCTTTTATGGGGACAAAATCCCATGTAACCATAAATTTCGCCAAATTGGTCTGTTTATATGGCTCCCCCGTTGCCGAGCCTTTCATGTCGCATTCAGTGTCATTCCTTTGAGGAAGTGCGATGGTTGCTTTATCTTATTCTTTGCTTCTGCCCGTAGCCGGAAACGCTGTAAACGCCGCGCACTTTCGTCCCACATCAACCGGAAATCATATCAATATGAAGATTACTGCAGCGCCACGCCGGAAGTTGAGCCCTATAATGGCGCCGACATAACTTCCGGTTAAATATGTGTTCAGCGGGCACAGACAAATAGTGAACTGCATTCATGTGGAAATTGGACAGGTAGTTATTATATGTCAGTGGTTGTAAAATATAGATTATAGATCTCTGGGGATAATATTTCTTTGTTAGGAACCTAAAGAAGTGTTTTTAAACATCACGTGGGATAGTTCTAATATCACGTGCACGAACTGCGTAAAACCACTGACGCAGATGTGGTGACAAATATACATTTAGTTAATGCCTTGCTCTGCATATAGATACATTAATCACTGCGTGAAAAACATCTGTTTTCAGTGGAAAATACGGAACCATAAGTTAAACGAGTAAACTGGAAATTTAACACAAGATTCATGGTGTGCATTGAAAGTTTCACACAATGACGTCGAATATTGCTTTCATTACATTTTATGAAAGCAGCGATTAAACTTGTGTTGTAGGGTAGCCTAGAGGATAAATCGTTCGCTTGCCATTTCTGGGTCACCCGATGTGATATTACTGGAATGTTGCGTTTTGACAAGTTATTTTTTGTATCACAAATTGACGTTGCTCTTGTGTAGCATGAATTGTGGACACTTAACAAAGAATTACCAGGTCAAAAAAGATCAATAGCAGATACTAGATTCAAACACTTAGTCATAAGATTAACTTGTGTTTTTCCAATTAAGAACTGTAAATGAATCAAGTAACTAAATGCAAGGAGAGTGAGTGAGTGAGTGAGTTTGGTTTTACGCCGCTTTTAGCAATATTCCAGCAATATCACGGCGGGGGACACCAGAAATGGGCTTCACACATTGTACCCATGTCGGGAATCGAACCCGGGCCTTCTGCTTGACGAGCGAACGCTTTAACCACTAGGCTACCCGACCGCCCCTAAATGCGAGGAGAAATACGTTGAACATAGCTAAGGTTTTGAGTGGAGTGTTGGGTTTTGCAAGTTTTGAATATTTGAGAAGTTCATATAATTCCTAAAACGCAATTTCAGTATACAAATCGTGTATCTACAGTCATCCAATCAATAAATTTTCCTAGTCACAATAATCAATCTGATCCTATGTCACCGGACAACGGCACGCCAGAAGGCAGCATAAAAAAACCCAACCTTGTTTAACACCATGATCAATGAACTATTTCATCATGTCAGCTCTCCTACCCAATCTTCTTCATTCGCTGATGACAGAGCAATATGGGTAAAACAGAGATATTTCACATATCCGAGAAAAAAATCCGGTCACTACTGGACGGAAAAGGTAGATGGTACAATAAATAGGAATTCACCTTTTGAAGTAAAAAACTGTGGGATATACCCCGTCTCTCCATAAAAGGCAAATGTATCAAATTCGAAAATGTCATGTAGAGATCCAGGGACACGTCTCCTCTCGTATACTGTATACTGTGTCCTGCGTCCTGTCAGACAAGAGGCAGATCATCTACATAAAAGCATCCAAGCTTATAAAGCATGAGGGTCGGTCGGGTAGCCTAGTGGTTAAAGCGTTCGCTCGTCACGCCGAAGACCCGGGTTCGATTCCCGACAAGGGTACAATGTGTGAAGCCCATTTCTGGTGTCCCCCGCCGTGATATTGCTGGTATATTGCTAAAAGCGGCGTAAAACTATACCCACTCACTAACTATAAAGCATGAAGCCGAGAACAACATCTTCAATTTGAGACCCGACATTTTCCAGATTGACTTTGAAGTGGAAGCTGCTAGTGCTGCTACATCTGTGTTTGATGGTGTTCAGATCCGGGGATGCTACTTTCACTACGCAAGGCATTATGGAGGAGGATACGACATCTGGGACTGGAGAACATGGATATTTGGATCTACCCTTTATCTTGTGCCGCTGGATCAAGTGAACAATTTTGGGGTAGACGCCATCAGTGAGAGTCCCGAGAGGGAGACCCGCGTTATATTCATGGACTAAGTCACGTCAACACAGATTGAAGGCGCATGGCACAAACTGACTTGGAATTACTTTGCTATCAAGGACACAGAATCAACAACAACATTGAAGACTGGCACAAGTAGATTAATTCCCTGACCACCTGCAATCCCGACATCTTTGTCTTTGACTGCGTCGAACTTAAGAGGGAACAGTCTTCCACGTATGTGATACTGGTACAGCATAGAGGGAACCGTGGTAAACTTCCTAGACGCAGACAGTATGTTTTTGTTTGTTTTGTTTGTTTGCTGTTTAACGCCGCACTCAGCAATATTCAAGCTATATGACGGCGGTCTGTAAATAATCGAGTCTGGACCAGACAATCCAGTGATTGACACCATGAGCATCGATCCACGCAATTGGGATCGATGACATGCATCAACCAAGTCAGCGAGCCTGACCACCCGATCCCGTTAGTCGCCTCTTACGACAAGCATAGTCACCTTTTACGGCAAGCATGAGTTGCTGAAGACCTATTCTACCTCGGATCTTCACAGGTCCAGACAGTATGTGGCAGAGGATGAGGACAAACTTTCGAGCAATGAAGTATATCTTATGTTCTATACTGGTAGAGCTGCACATCTTCTAGAGGAGTACATGATGCTTGACTTTAAAAATCTTATGTTTGTCTGAGTCTGAAGTGTCTGTGTTCAATAATTGTTGACAACCTTATTCTAGTGGATACATGCTGCATAATATTTGTTGACTACCTTTTAACTCACGTATAAGTGCTAAGATAGCTAAATAAATTATGCAAAAAACGTGTCTTATTGTTTTAATTGTGAGCACCCTAAACGTAAAATGACGACTTTGTATAACCGGCAAAGTCATTCATCCTTGGGGGCGGTCGGGTAGCCTAGTGGTTAATGCGTTCGCTCGTCACGCCGAAGACCCGGTTTCGATTCCCGACATGGGTACAATGCGCGAGGCCCATTACTGGTGTCCCCCGCCGTGATATTGCTGGAATATTGCTAAAAGCGGCGTAAAACCATACTCACTCAACCACTCACCCATTCATCCTTGACAATACCTGGGTTTCCTAAATGCAACTGTTTACCTGTTTTTTAGAAGTTAAACGAAGCAGACTGGCAATATGTACAATGCCACGCGCATACTGCATCTGGATGAAGATATTTTGTTTATCCTAAACACTAAACCATAATCCATACACGCACATACTTCATGTGGTCAACACATTCCGCCGTCCTCCGCTCTGTTACACGTGTTTGTTGCATGTGGTTCAAATACTGTATTCCGCTGGTCATACGTCCTAATCCGCGCATATTACATATGGTTGAGAGACGGTGGAGACCATCCATAAATCCGGTACATCAAATCCCTCGATCACCGACGTCAGCTACAATGGTTCACCAGATGTCGTTAAAAGATACACTTATCTCAATATAAAATATATGAAACCAATCTTAAATTTCCGAATGATACCGTTTTCTCAATATAAAGCACATTTTACCATACCATTTCCCGGAAGTATCATGAAATGCTTTCGTGTAAATGTCGTAATACATAATGTTGATTTTCTGATTAAAGATGGATAAGATTGTTTCTCAAGCTGGTGTATTCAACCAATATGATAATCAGATAATTTTGCAATAAATGGACGTACATTACCCACAGATATATGTTGTACCACAATAGATGCACGTACATTACATACAGATATATGTTGTACAAGAATAAATGCACGTACATTACCCACAGATATATGTTGTACAACAATAAATGCACGTACATTACCAGCAGATATATGTTGTACAAGAATAAATGCACGTACATTACATACAGATATATGTTGTACAACAATAAATGCACGTACATTACCAACAGATATATGTTGTACAAGAATAAATGCACGTACATTACATACAGATATATGTTGTGCAACAATAAATGCACGTACATTACCAGCAGATATATGTTGTACCACAATAAATGCACGTATATTACCCACAGATATGTGTTGTACCACAATAAATGCAGGTACATTACCAACAGATATATGTTGTACCACAATAAATGCACGTACATTACCAACAGATATATGTTGTACTACAATAAATGCACGTACATTACCCACAGATATATGTTGTACCACAAAAAATGCACGTACATTACATGCACATATATGTTGTACCACAATAAATGCACGTACATTACCAACAGATATATGTTGTACCACAATAAATGCACGTACATTACCAACAGATATGTGTTGCACCACAATAAATGCACGTACATTACATACAGATATATGTTGTACAACAATAAATGCACGTACATTACCCACAGATATATGTTGTACAAGAATAAATGCACGTACATTACATACAGATATATGTTGTGCAACAATAAATGCACGTACATTACCAGCAGATATATGTTGTACCACAATAAATGCACGTATATTACCCACAGATATGTGTTGTACCACAATAAATGCAGGTACATTACCAACAGATATATGTTGTACCACAATAAATGCACGTACATTACCCACAGATATATGTTGTACCACAAAAAATGCACGTACATTACATGAACATATATGTTGTACCACAATAAATGCACGTACATTACCAACAGATATATGTTGTACCACAATAAATGCACGTACATTACCAACAGATATATGTTGCACCACAATAAATGCACGTACATTACATACAGATATATGTTGTACCACAATAAATGCACGTACATTACATACAGATATATGTTGCACCACAATAAATGCAC